TTGATCTCAAAACCTTAGCTTTCCAAATGTACATCGAACATCCAAATGTACATCGAACACATTCTCACGCTCAGAACTAGACCCGAATAGGCTAGTGGGTTTGGAAAATGGGCGTGAAATTCACCTGCACGCCCCCCATTTCTTCGAACACAGACCCTATTGGTAGGATCGGAAGCCATCAAATGACAACCATGTGGCGCTCCCAGTGGACTTGAAAGTATACCCAAAACTATATGTCGACAAGGACAGGTGGCTTGTTGCCTGAACAGGTCTTGGCGAGACTCATTTTTTGCGTGTGTTTTAGTGGTAATTGTATCATAGCTGGCGAAATCAAAACCTGAGCAAGCTATAGCTGTACGAGCTAGTACGGTGGTTGGATGGACAGGCAAGAGGATGAAGACAAGCAGAGACTAGCTTCGGATTATTGAGTGAATTGATTAATATACAGGATCGTACAGGCCTAATTACCCCATGGATAGCTCAGAGGCATAGAAGATATAGGCAGTCAGATTTGCCGCGAAATTTTGCGCGGGATAAACTCGTTAGTAAGCCAGCGGAAACCAAACTCTAGGCGTGTGCGTGGACCGCGCTTACCAGAGTTTTTTGCCTACTGCGCGCATAAAACCGACCTGGCACTCTCCATCGCGCAGCGTTGGCTTGGCGCCTACGCATGGTACAATTCCGTTCAAGGACAAGGACTATGAAACCGGATCGCACCACGTGACCGTGCGAATTAGACAGTCTTCCGCAAGACCCCATCTGCGGCCCAAGAGTTGCAACCCAGGCCCCAACCCCAATGGGTTTTGGGGTTTTCAGAAATGCTCTTGGATCATCCAGAAGAAGCCCCATAAAACCCCCATTTTGCATAAAATCAAGGTTTTGGCGTCTATACATCTGCTGAACAATCCAGGATGTAGTCCTGTTTTGGTTCTCCTCTTAAAATACCATGTGATTTTACTTGAAGATACTGAAATTTCATGTAATTATGCTGAACTAAGGATGAATGTAGCTCGGTTTTGGAACTTCTTCCCAGATTTGAAGAAATTAGACCGTTTTAGTGGTTTATAAGTTGTGTAAAGGATTTTTGTTGATGAGGTTGCGGAGATATAAATATGTTGTTTGCAGAAGAATATATATTACTAGGAATGCAGAGAATGCTTTCGAGATCCGCTTCTTCGATCCTGTAACTAACCCTGAAATATCTCTTATTCTACAGTCTTTTTCTATTCGACCTACAGTAATAGGTAATTGCCCTATCATAGTTAACCTAGCTTAAAGTTCCTGGTATAATCAGATGTCATTCTTGGACTAGGTGAAGTCTTTGGGGATGTCTAGTTTCAGAATAAGAGGGAGATGGGGTATTATGGGGCTTTTTACGGGGTTTCCGGGATTATTTGGGATCAATTGGATCTTTTTGGGGTTTCGCTGGGATCTTTCGGGACCGCCCCATACAGGCTAAGTTCCAGTAACCAATCAAAAGCTTAATCTAGTACCTACTTTCTTATACAGTCCCCTGCAAGTACAGGGTAAATAGGTTTAACCGTTACTCTGGCCTCTTCTGCTACACATATCGTTACGATGACTACCTGGTTGCCGTTTGTCATTGCGTATTGGTTTAGAAAATCATTATCTGCTTCGTCGTCGTCATCCTAGATTTCAGGGTTCAAGACCAAACAATCACGTTAGCCATTCGCGATGCAGTGAACGAACTTCACGGGTAATGTCTCAAGCGCCAGTAAAGTGAAACTCTTCCCGATGAGCGAAGATCCTTCACTCTTAGCGAATCAGTCATAATTTTTGGGGCTGGTCAGGCTATGAAAGCGGTAACTCAGGTCAATAAGTTGCCTTGGTTAAATATTTCAATGCACAACGGGAAAACCCCATTGATGCAGTTTCTGTGAAAGGCAATGTTTCCGAAAGTTTGCCTAGGTAATGGCCAATTTAAGATATAGCAGAGGCTCTCCGGCTGCGTACTAGTTTCATACTCACTGGCAATATTGGTTAAACGCGCGTAATGAACTCTTGCTCTGACTACCTACGGTATGGTCAAATGGGATATTCACCTCGAATACTTAGGAATAGCTCGTCTGACGAGACTTGGAGGCGCCCAATCAGAATTGGCAAGTTCGTGTCGCTGAAGCACCTGCGGAAGCGGCGAATCAATTGTAAAGAGTGCGAGGTCGAAATGGGTTCGAGACTACTGTCCGCACAAGAAAGTCATCCTATTAGATTATTGGACTGATATCATGTATTTCGGTATATAGCGACGGTCCCAGCATAAATATACACACAACCAGCACACCAGATTGGAGAAAGGAGGGCATCCAGGATAGTCACTACGGTCACCATTGAGAAATACATAACGACTCGATGTACGGACACAGTCAGCCAATTGGTAACTTCACCGAAATTACACGAGAAATAGACGCTCTAGAGTATTGTTCATTGTGGAGTTATTGAAAGAGATCTATGGAGCTAGATTGATATGAACACGCTTGTATTCTCCGACCACAAAAGTAGTACTTTTGATTTATCCGTTTATGATACATCAATTGATAGGAGACAAGGTGTTATTTCTATTTTCCTTTTCGCACCAGATTTTGGTAGCCATATTCGACTCTCTACTTTTGTTGCTGGATAAAGTGCTGATTCTCAGCCCAGTTCAGGGTAAGAGCAAAAGATCTTTGGTTTCGTATGGCAACCAACTCCCATGGCTAACTCTGTATAGCAATTGCCCAGCGTCAGCAGTTCCAAGCCGTCTATGACTGATACTGGCTATGAAGCCTTTCTTCTCATACTGGCGATGCTTCTTTCTGTTTCCTTTCAACACATCCACCTTTGTCGCTGAGTACGGGGTATCGTGCACGTTTTCCCTCTAGACTGACTGTTAAGGATTCAGTTCGAGAGATAGACCCCAAAACGCAATGCAGTTCCTAGAAACTTGAACTTCGGCTTTTCGCGGATCTTTAACTTGACCAGGCTAATCATCCAACTAACTGCGGAAGAGACTTCGGTAGGACCATAAGCGGCCAGTATTTTTTTGAAGCTTCAATCCAACCTAACGAAAGAAACTGGCGATACAAGCGCGTCCTCTCAATCGGTTTTGCCAACTTGGTGTGACAAGGGGATATTCTAACAATATACCTGAGACCCCATTTCTGCAAGAATTTCATAGTCATGGATGATATGTGCCCCGTTCGGCAATCTTACCATGACCCAGACCGCTTTTCTCACCCTTTAGGCATCTTATCTTGCTTCCCAGGCTTGGCTTGATGAAGTCTTATTGTCTACAAATGTTGTGGTCCGTTTGCCGTTTTATTCTTCTGTGCTGGCTGGCCAGAAACCCGAGGGAGCCGCTAGGAGCTTCGACCGTTCAGATATTGGTAGGATAGACTAAAGCTTGAAGTTACAGCAGATTGTCAAATATTTGTTACCGTGTAAGTTGTACTTTTCTTATTCGCTGCAGATATTGGTGTGCGTTTTTTCCTCCAATGTGTCTACGAACCGCTAGAACTATGGCTTGAGTAGTGGTATCGAGGATTCCGCCTGGGCTTCGTAGAAACGGTAAGACGTTACGGGGTGTTAAAGTGGCATGCTATTAAACTTGATCGAATAATGTTTACTACCGGTTTAATTGTTCGCAGATACTAAAGTAACGCATATGAATGCTTCGGCTCTCTTCAATACCGCCATGCCAATTGCCTTGAAAAGGATGGTGAGGAGTGCAGGGCATACGTACAGGTATCGCACAGGCTTAAGGCTAGCTCAGAGCGCTCTTACATGAGTTGATTAATCCTCAAATATATGACTAGTGCTCCAAGTGGATCGGTTCATAAGAGTCCGCCTAATTTTAAACCCACTTAATATAGAAGCTCATTTTTATTCAGTCTCCTAGAAACCGGGGGGCGGCAAAAAATATCCTTTGCAACAAGATACAGTTACGGTCCCTTTTATTCCATGTAGAACTACCTAGTCACTTTTCGGTCTATATAGAAATTGTCACTGGCGACAGATAACTACAACATACGGAATAAGCAGCCTTTTATCGACACCCGAAGCTCATCTCCTCATATTGGTACGTGTCAGTAGGCAAAAATCTCGGTCACTCAACTGGAAGCGATCAGTTTGGGGATTTATTTCGATGCATCTGCAAAGACAGACTTTGCTAGGACCATGATTTCGGCGGAAGAGTTGATGCTGCCAAGGAGAGCGTGAAATGTCCGCGGGGCCAGATGTTGGATGTGAATGGAGCGATACGGCGCTTGGCCTTTCTAATAATACCCCTCAGAATTATGCGAAACAGGGCGGTGGTGGAGCATTGTATGTCTATCCAGGGAAGCAGAAGCAAGCTTGAAATTGATACATGCATGATATAGCACATCATCTGCTTCCCTCTTGGTTTCCATAAGAGTTACCCGAGACAATTAATCTACCTGGCTGCCGTCGACCTTTTGACCGCTGCACTATCGAAGCATCTCTGTCCCAATCGTCCCTTTCTGCTCTTCAGCAGGATACTGGAGCTAGTCCCATCGCTTGCCTTTCTTATCTAAATCTGTTCTGGTCGACGGCAGTCGCACAAGTCAGTGTTGCAGCCCTTAGCTAGGCATTCTGAGTCTTCTTTTCCTTGATAATACTAGGACAGATTAGGCGAACTATGATCCAGCCCATGAAATTATCTTCCAGTTACGCGCTATTTGGGTGTGCATTGTCGCATAAGTAGACAGTTATTATACATAAACTCGAAGACTGTAGTGAGATATTTGAAGATTGATTATGTATTATATGTAATAACTGCCCCATCAATATATAAGCATAAAGAAAACTTTTGATCTGGAAAAGGTGGTTCAAGATGCACTGCGGGTTGAGGTCAAGGTTAGTCAGGCCGACTTTCTCCACGTCTTTCTGCGAGCAGTAGTAGACGTCACCACTGGAACAGCTCTCGCGGAGAAGCTAAGTGAGAAGGTTGTTTAGAGGAGAGGAGACAATCGTGTGCAGCAGCAATGAAAACGGGGGGTTCCTCTCCTCTAAACAACCTTGTCACCGGTCTCCTCCGCGAGAGCTGTTCCGGTGGTGACGTCTACTACTGCTCGCAGAAAGACGTCGAGAAAGTCGGCCTGATCAACATTGACCTCATTCTGCAGTGCAGCTTGAATCACCTTGTCTATTTCAAAAATGTTTAGTCTTCGGCTACGGCGAGGTTGTCGTAGGCTGACGAAGAACAGAAGGGTAGCGATGCGGTGGAATTGCGGGAGAGAGGTGGTGGTTGTTGGGTTGGTTGGACGTGTCGTGGAGGATAGGTGGCCGGGAGCAAGGCTAGCGGTTCAGATGAAAGCTTGGCGGGGAGTAAATCAGCAGGAGTCTCAAGGTCTAGTTTCGTTTGGTTCATTGGTGTAGGAGTTGTTGGTGTTGGGTATGGTTCAGGTCGCGAATCGAAAGCTATGGTTGATGACCTGCCATAAGCAGTCTTCTTTGTGCACTTTCCATAGAACTCCGGTGGAATTTCCTGGATGACCTTCAGCGGGACAACGGTCCCACATGTAAAGCAGCGTGCGGTATCGCCCACTACAGCGCGGGCTTGGTGGTAGTGCCTATTTCAGTAAGCTGACGGGGGCGACCAGTGAGGAGCCGGTGTTGGAATGCGATATCTGTGGCTGCGAGGATTGAATAGGTCTTTGAGATACAGATGATGGGTTTCAAGGTGCGTCGTGGGGTGGATCTGTTAGACGGCAAGGTAGGTTCGTTGTGGTCGTACTGTAAAGCCCCGTGGACATGATCACATTCTTCGATACACCTTGTCGAGACATACACATGATGGTTATTTCCCTCGGCCTGAAATTAGATCCACGGCTCGTCCGTGATGTGCGCATCCATACTAAGATGTACAGCTTCTGCCACTTAATGGAGAACATCGTGGTCCGAGGTTCACCTTCATCAAATGAAAACCCACGAGGTACCATTTGTCACAGCATGGGCTCTTCTTCACCGGAAGGAATCAATAATCCAACCAAATCCCCAGTTGGGCATCAGCACTCGGTCCATTGCCACCGCTATGGCTCGCTGGGAGTGTCTTGACCTTGGTAATCATCTCTTGACCCTCTGTCATCTGCGGAACACTCTAATTTTGCAAAAACAGATTTCACGTTTGTTTGAATCCATGGTGTTGTCGATTAGATTAGTTTTGGCGCAAAGTTGCACCGAAATACCCTTCACCCCTTTTGTGAGGGTGAAATCAGTAGAACAAAAGTTGAACCGTATCGGAATTCCGCACTCATGAAGGTCGGTGACGGGGTTAATCGTCCAAGTCACAGAAAATCTGTCCAAAAACTCTTGCCCGACTAGCATCTGAGAGCTATTCTGACTAGCGTATTCAATAGCACGAAGCTCACAGTCTGTCTTGCCAATCTCAGCCAGACCACTTCGCTGTCCTCGTTCCTGGAAAGAGAGCGGATGAATGTCCGGTACTTCGTCGTCTCGGTGAACCGTGGTGGGGTTGTATCAACAACCCGTAAATGATAGGTCTGGCCCTTATTGAGGTATGACTCTGGTGCCTCATTCGGGTTAACAACCATTGCTGTCGGGGCTTGAAGGCAAGTAAAAGCGATATCTAGGGAATATTTGTTAATCTAAGTTAGTCCGTACACTAAGTGGAATCGGATTACCTCGCACTTTCTCTATGAGCTGGTATTGCGCTCTTTAAAGGCAAGCTCTGTGAAAGTAGGACTGCACTATAGGAATCCCGGAGTCCAGAGAATTTGTTTTGGGAGGGTAACAGCGCTAGCGTATCCCCTGCCTTGTAGCTAGAGTTATAGTTAGAGACGAGGCCATGCCCATTTCCCGCAAATAGGCCAAGGTGTTTTGGTTTTGTGGTGGCACTGGCCTTTCAAAAGAGCTTGGACGGAATTCCAACTTGACTGTGGGGTTAGAAGCCATTCAGGAGTGGATTGGAGACTAGCCTCTCCAAATGAAGTCTCTGGCGCGACTGATTCTTCAACATGATTGGTGAGATATTGAAGATCAGGTTGATCTATTAGGCAGTCCTGCAATGAAGGCCATCCCACAAAGAATGATCCATTAAGCTGGTGTTATACTCTCAGCAAAGAGACAGTATTTCACCAAATGCTCATGTCCTGTAGTGCAGAAGAAAAGTGACTTTAATCTAGATTTGCAGATACTTTTTCTATTAAGAAGAGTATATACCAGGGAGACAGTCCAGGTTCATGTCTTTTTGCCGGAAATGTAACGTCAGACCCAGCCTTGTGCACTAGTTGTACTACCTTGAATAGTGTCAGTTGCGGCCGGCTTGAGAGCCGGTAAATAGATTGTCTTTGAGACTATGCAAGCGACCGCGATTTTCCTTATCCACTCACGACAACTGCATTCAAACCGTACCGAAATATGTCGTCCCTACTCAATTCGATGTAACTCTGGGTACTGGGCTAAAACAGCAGGACGCGGTGTTGTCCCATCTCCGGTCCAATGCACGCCACTTATTTCGGGTCAGATTCCTAGTGGCCGGCGTGCGAACCGTCGAGTGGCTGCAAGGGGCTGATCACAAGCAACGACCAAGCATTTAGTCCAGACTCACTGACTTAGCTGTAGACTAACGATTCAGAAGCTCGCTGGGTATTGCGTACATGAACGCTAATTTGTGCCCATCACATCAAATTTTCCGCCCTGTGATCTCAGAGGGTCGGATACGTACTGTACTTCTTGTGATGAATTGACTACAGATTCGGTGTTTAAATAGGGATACAGCAGACTCTATTCGTCCTGTTCTCTGCCTGCTCACTCTGCATGCTCATCAGCTATTTCTGAATTTTAGGCTTTAATTCTGCCTTTGTGAAAGTTCGGTTAGTATCCAGGGCATCTACCAGGAATTTTCTGAAAGATCATAAGAGTAGTAACACGATCTAAGAAAAGAGGCATTTGTACCTATATATTCAAAATACTATTGGATTGCCGCTTTGATAAAACGGTATGGTCTTTGATTGTTGTTTCAGTCCGTGCAAATTTTGTCTCAGGTAACCAGACGAAGTAAGGAATGCGTATGTGATCCTACAATCAGTCACGTCACGTTAACTTGGGAATTCTGTGGACTTGATTCCTTTTGCATAACTAGTTCTCGCATCCGCGAGGCTGCAGGCCAGCGGTCAATGTAACAGTTTGATATTACCCAGCGCAGTACCAGCAAAACTATGAGTGATTGCAAGAGAGATTAAAAAGAGCACAGCACTCATGGTTTGAGTGTATTAGTGAGGTAATTCCATATTTCCGTGTCCCTACTGGAAGGTTGAAAGAGCAGACATTTAGGACGGGCAGCATACCACTTGCAGTGAACCGCTAGCTCTAGATTATAACCAATGAGTCAGAAGGGCACTGGCATGCTTTCCCTTCTGAGACACAAGTAACCACCCATGTAGTATATGGTACCTGGACCGTGGACGGAATCCAAATCCAAGGTGGCTTCAGTAGTTTGGAACGAGTATGGAGTGACATAAGGCACCACTACTTCCGCATTACACATGCTATATTAAATATATGTAAAGCAATGATGACGCTACAACTCCACCGTATCCACGGTTGGCCGTGAAACGAGTACTTCGATATAAAACGATGATTAGGTCCGCTTCAGTGGAGCGTCATATCCTTGCTGATTTCAAACCTTTAGGCCAAGTAATGTGGCTTAGCCTGGGCGAGGGTTTGATGGCGAATGTGAGAGATACCTTGACTTATGAGAAGAACGCTTCTAGTTTACTGGAGATAACCATGTTGGCCATGGAGGGTTTGCAGAGAGATTCGAATGGACGCGCAGATAAAAGCATTACACCCCTTGGAAAAAGATAGACTAAGGTGAGACCTTACCTGGACTGGTGGAGCGAGGAAGTCTCTCCTTTGAGTAGCATGAGTTTCATACTTCTCGGCTACTTCCACGGGAAATAATTGATCGCGTTCTTGGAAATAGAGGTCAGCTCATGAACGCCAAAACCTCCGCAAAATATGCCTATCACCGCTCCTGTAGGAGGAGCCAAGTCGTTCTTGGGTATTTTGAGCGTTGAAAGTATGCCTGAACTGCCGACTGGAAGAATTGCACGTACGCGGCTCATGCGTCTGATAGCCCTTGAGTACCTGGCTAGGGATACTAGGACTTGCGACATACCTAGCTCACATGGAATTTGCCAATGTCTCAGACTAGTGGTTTATAAAGCTATCTTCCGAACTTGAGAATAGAGCTCAAGTTTGAAGAATTTCCGATATTGCAAATACCTTGGCACATTCTCGGCTTAATCCGGTTTACAAGGGTATTTAAGGGGATTTGACTTGGTCAAACCAAGGGGGATAGCATGGGCCAAAAAAGGGAAAACGACCATTCTCCGGGAGCTTTGTTATAAATTACCCATCGCTGAACCAGCGAGGAGAGAATTGCCAAATTTTATTTGATAATCCTGTCAGATATAACTCTTTCTAAGCAACCTTTTCACTTTTCGCTTTACAAAATGGTTTGGAGAAAGCCGCCTATCTTGGATTGGAGCTCGCAGATGGCTCAATCTGCGACTTCGACGGCGCTATATTCCAGTAGTTGCTTCTTACGATTGGCCACTGGACAGCTCATTATCGCGATTAAAGCGGCGAACGAAAGCATAAGCACATCTCTTCTATCCTACGGTATATTTCAGCTCTTCGCAATCAGCATCCTTCTTCCGGCATATTTTGCACGGGCCTTGACTGACCTGATTCCAACCATCGTCGGAACGATCTGGTGTCTTATTTTCCCGTGGGATAAGCTCATTGAACAGACCGAGTCCAGTCGGAGGCAGTCAGCAATGTTTGCTCAACTTCAGCTTGAGGGAAAATATATTTTCAGAGATGGTGATATAGCTAGGGTCAACCGATCTGGAAAGGAGTGGATGAACAACATTTTGTGGGGCGAACACACTGAGGAGTTCGAGGTCTGTGGCGCAAGAGCAAGATTTGTTCATCTAAGGCCAGAGAGAAGCGATGACAGTAGCACTTCAACTTCGTCAAAACGGCCCATTCTGTTTTTACACGGAAGTCGAAGCTGGAGTTTTATGTGGAGAAAGGTGTGTCAACTACGTTAAGCCTCTTCGGGCTATCCTGGCCCAAATATCAAAGTGTGATAACGCACCTGCAGCGACTCTACTAACAGGTGCTCTATGTAGATTTTGCCTAGACTTCGCGAGGAGGGCCATGAAATTTATGCCCTCGATTGGATCGGCCATGGACGGAGCGACAAGCCTATACACAGGGAATCTGTTACTTTTGAGCTTCACATGCAAACAGTAATGGCATTTGTTAGTCATGTGCAGCTCCAAGGCGCAGTGCTGGTAGGACACAGTTGGGGCGGGTAAGTGGAATTTTCTCTCCTCCTACACGCATGGCAACCGCATACAATTCGTCCCTCTGCGTCTTTTTTTCAACAGTGTTAATAAGATTTCAGCTATGTGGCTCTATGTTGTATTCCCTACTTGCCTTCGTCATCATGCAGTGGGCTCTTCCTCATGAACTCATTCTTGCCATGTCAGCCCCACGGAATGGGCATAGATGGCCGTGTTCTTCACGGGTTCCGCTTTCTCCTCACTCGAGTCCTAGATGGATATATTTCCCAATCGACAATTACCCGACTGTTACTTTACGATATTCCAAGGCGGGATGCTAAAGGCTATGGTGCACCTTACCGGGACTTACCCGCCAATGTTGGACCAAGCTTTGAGCCTTTCGATCATATGAGTATCGGAGTACCGCCACACTTGCTGAGATATATGCGCGAGACGCCATTGTGGAAGGCGTGTGAAGCCTTTTGCCCAAAAGGGTTCGCTGGTCTGAACAGCCTAGCCCTTCTATCGGAGAGAGTTGACAGTGCAAGTCGCTACCTGCTAGAAAGTCGAAGTGATGACAAGAACGAGGACACTGAAAGCCGATTTAAAACTGCCATTGTGTTTGGAGAACGTGATCCATTGGGAAGGGGTTACAAGACAGCCCTTTCGTGTGTGATTGGAAAAAGAAATATGGTGGACTGGGCATTAGACGGTATCATGATCGAAAATGCTGGTCATTACCCCATGGAGGACAAGCCGGAGAATGTGGCACAATTGATAAGTAGATTTGTCTGACCGTTCAATTAGGATGGCTTGAGACAACCGACTAGAAACCATATATTTTTCAGGCAAGATGCATGTTTTCACGTACTGTATATTCCTCTGAAAAGGAGGTTAACTGAGCATATTCCATCAGGCCATTTTCGACTGCACTCGCGACTAGAGAGCTGGATTGCGAAATAGCGGAGATGTTTAGAAATCTCAGCCCACCGAAGGTCGTCTAAAATTAATTTGTTAGGAGTTGATTGTGTGACTCCCACAGGCTAGATATAACTAGCACGGTTGGCAGTTATGCATGGACAATAATAAGCACATCATTCTGGGTGAATCAACTGCTGAGACTTCATCTTCCAGGAACGCCGATATTGGTAAGACACATTTCGTGGTTACGAAGAGCCGAGTGAATCGCTTCCCTTTTGCATTTCTGTCTCGATTGCCCAGATCGCCTTCCACTT